TATTATTACTATAAATTCTTTTACATTCAATGGAACAAACACTAGCAATAGCAAATATAAATTTTATTTTATATGTGGGCAATTTTGACATAGTTATTTTTCAAAGTGTTTTAAATGATGTTTTCTTTGAAAATTATTCAATAAAAAGTGGTTTTTGAAGGAAAAAACAGAGTTATAATGGCTTAGGAATCTTTCTAGTGGATGATGACTATTACATCAGCATTTTATTAGTTTTGTCAAATCTTTGAGTATCACCACCAATTTTTCCTTCCTTCATTGACCTTGGTGGTTGTAGAGATGATTTGCCTTGTACTTTGAGTTCTTTAATTCTTACAATAAAAAATTGAATTCATTATATCTTTATTATCAAAAAACCAATTTCTGTAAAAGAAATTTGAATGAGTTGTGTTATGCCTGTTCAAATTTGCTGATGATGGAGATGCCATCAAGGACATATTTGGCATTCAGTTTTAAATACAATAAAAAATCGTAATTCATGGTGTCCTCAATGTGCAGGATCTTTGTCAAAAATTTTAATTGCAAATACGCATCTTACGTATTCCTGTAGCATCCAGCGCTCACATTTTTCTTCCAAATTAATTAAACCTTGAGACACAGCAACTTCACACATGATCCTTGCATGAGGTCTTCCCTATATAATTAAATTTATGATAAGACTAAGAAAAAATAGGAAATAAATCTAATATGCACAGAACCAACCGTTCTAGTAACTGGAGGAATCTCATTATGTCGGGAAGTTCTTCTTCTTGGTCGTAACGATTGACGTCGTGTACGTCGTGGAGCCGGGGCCGGAGCTGGAAATGGTGAAATAATGTTCAAACTTGGAAATATTGCAACATCAGGTGCTGATGGTAATCCTCCTCCATTTGGTTGATAGTGAGCTATTATAGAATTTGAGAAGATTGTAAAAGCCTAGGCATGCTTATTTTTTCAAAAGAAATGTATTTCAATTTTGCAAGCTACCCAAAGTAATCTTTCTTACCTGAAGCACCCACAACATCTATTGGAGGATCATCGACGACACCTCCGTTAGGAACCTTAAAATATTCTTGAAGCCGTACAACAACAAATGTATGTTCGTCTGATTCCATCTCGACTATAAATACGTTTCCCTTTGAATCAATATCAAATTTATATCCGCGTGTATCGTGTCGCTCAAAGAAATTATCAATTTTTTTCACAGACAAATTCCAGCCTATCTGTATAGGCAAACTATCATACGTATCAATACTGGGTGTAACTTAATAACTTCTGTGTGATGTTTACTTACCTTCTCTCTCTTAGAGAATTTTTTACTCCCTGAAAATTTTTATCTATGGACATAATTCGATTAATCATTTTGAAAAAGTTATTGTCGTTTGATCTGTATTTTTCATCATTTAAGTGTTAAGGGTTACGTAATCACAAAGTTACGCAAAATAATCACATGACCATCGAAAAAAATTCCAAAATAGAAAATCACAAATTGTCAATTGTCCAAGGATTGAACAGTACCAATTAAGAAATAAGACCAAGATCTTTAAGTCTTCGAGGGATCACTAAATAAAGGTCTTCATAATACCATACTTTGATAAGTAATATCCGATTTTTATCACAATGTTCTTTTTTTAGCTGATCCCGTGCAAACTGCTTTTCAAAATCCTTTTGGTTTTTGTGAAAGAAAGCATGGAAGCATTCATGTTGTATACCTTGAACTTCGACAGCAAAATCGTACCGTGGATAGTATACATCAAGTTCAAGCCCTAACGGATGATCAGGAGTTTTTAAGAAATATGGTCTACGTATATCAGATGGTGGGTGTAATAATTTCATCACTATTTCCTTGCAGAGTTCTTGTCTCTTATATGGACAAAATGGACACCATTTACCTAAATTTTTTACTTTATCCACGGTTGAATACCATTCATGCTTTTTTTCACACTGCCATTTTAATTTTGTATGTGCACCATTATACGTTTCAGAAAGACATAATCCTTTATTTTTAGTCGCGATTTTTCTAGCTTCTTCAATGGAAATTTTTGCATTACCTGAACAGTGAGGACACGATGTGTCCAAATTTCTTACACATTTAAGACTTGTATACCATTGATGGCCTTCGTTAACATTCCCATAAAGCAAAGAATCTATATCTATATATTTTTCTGATAATCATTTTCCACCTTTTTTAAGCACAATTTCTTTAGCAATATTAATATTAAGTATAGAACATCCTGCACATTGAGGACACCATGAATTACGATTTTTTATTGTATTCAAAACTGAATGCCAAATATGCCCTTGATGGCATCTCCATCATCAGCAAATTTGAACAGGCATAACACAACTCATTCAAATTTCTTTTACAGAAATTGGTTTTTTGATAATAAAGATATAATGAATTCAATTTTTTATTGTAAGAAGAATAATGAAAAATTTATACAATAAATTTATTTATTTAAAATAAAATAATACACATATACTAAAGGTAGAGGGAAAAGGCAGTAACAATTGGTGCTGAATTGCAATAGTAATCAAAGTACAAGGCAAATCATCTCTACAATCACCAAGGATCAAGGAAGGAAGGAAAAATTGGTGGTGATACTCAGAAATTTGACAAAACTAATAAAATGCTCATGTAATAATTGTCATCCACTATAGAGATTTCACCAAAAATTTTAAGCCATTATAACTCTCTAAACTTGTTTTTTCCTTCAAAAAAGATTGCAAAAACCACTTTTTATTGAATAATTTTCAAAGAAAACATCATTTGAAACACTTTGAAAAATAACTGACAAAATTGCCCACATATAAAATAAAATTTATATTTGCTATTGCTAGTATTTGTTCCATTGAATGTAAAAAGAATTCATAGTAATAATAATAGCTGATGAAAAGATTTTTTTTGTAATGTCATTTGATTAAAAAAAAACACCATACTATATATACTGTATATAAAATGAATATAATAATAAAACAATTCATTTAGAAAAAATGGTAATTTAAAAATCCTATATCTTGATATTTTTTTAATAAACCTTCTAATTTTTCTCTTCTTTCATACCTAGACAACTTTATTGTAAAAGGTTTGGGTCCTTTCCAATCACTCTCTAGAGTTCTCAGTGAACTATCAGAAAAAAAGATTTCAGTATAAGTAGTTAAAGTATTCAAATTTTTTGGTAATATCTGATTTAAAATTGCCAACACTTTATCACCATCTATTACATCTCTATTAATAGCATCTAACTTTAGACTTTTTAATTTGGTACATTTACTAATTATAGGAATTAGTTCTTGATCTAGTTCATTTTTGTAAAGTATTTCCAAATATTCTAAATTTTTACAATTTTGCCCAATTGACTGATTAAGCTTTCCTAAATATTCTTCATCAATTGGTGCACCACGAATTATCAAAGATTTAAGAGTTTTACCATTGATTTTTATAAATTCAGACAGGTCTAAAAGAAATGGACCATAAAGATACAAATAAAAATATTCAATATTTGGAAATAGAACTGATTTTAATTGCATTAATTTGACATCTGAGGAGTAATCAACTAATTTTAAAGACTTCAAATTTTGAAATGTTGGAATTATAGAATTTAAATTATTATTTTCATAACTTTCATAATTAACTATTGATTTTGAATGAATTAAGATTGCATTTTTTAAATCCTCTAGATTTGGTAAAATTAATTCATCTTCTGACTCAATATGTAATTGTTTAATTTGATTTTGTGCTTTAATTAATTTAATTAATTCAGTTAAACTAAAAGATTCAGTAACAGTATAATCAGGATTGAAATAGCAATCTATATTTAAAACTTGAATATTTTTACAAGTAGTTGCTAATTTATCAATAATTTCAGAACTAGAGTGAATACTGCAATGTAATTCATAAAGGTTTTGAAAACAAGTATCAAATCTATGATGATCCAAAAATTCTTCACTATCTAATATTGTAGTAAGCTTTCTGATATTTGAATGATCTAAAATAAATTCTTCCAATCTTGTTTTTAAATATTTTAAACTAACAATATCACATAAATCTTCTAACCATTCATTTATTTCATAAAAATCTAATTCAGTTGTAAATTTAGCATAATTGTATAATGGTGGTTTTTCCAATAATTCAAAATCTTTTAATACAATGTCATTTTCCACCAAGAAATTTTTATCTTCTTCTAGTAAGCAATTAATTAATATTTTGATGCTGTTTCCAGAAATAAATGGGTTTTTCCATAAAGCTGGAATATTGATATTGTGCCATTTTTTATTGACAAGGACACAAGAATATAATGTTTTATAATCTTTTTCAATGTATTTAAATATTTCAGTGAAAATTTCCTGTGGTAAAGTTGTTATAAGCATTTTTTTTTTTACATTATGTGCTACACAAATTTAATAAAATAAAATAATAAAATAAAAAATTTTGCTCAAGTTTTATTCATAAGATGAAATATATGTAAAATGGTTTTAACAAGTTTGCTCAGGAACTCCAAGGCAGTTTACTTAGTAAAGTCTATTTGTTTTTTTTGTTTTTATATAATATAAATTTTTTTTTTTTTGCAAAAGATTGTTAGTTTTATTTATTAAGAATTTATTTTTATAATATAAATATTAATAAAGGTAACATTTATTAAATTTATTATTATTATGAAAGGATTCAAAAAATTACAACATATTATTTGTCTTTGCCTAATATTAATCAATTTTAACACAACTCATTCAAAGATATAATGAATTCAATTTTTTATTGTAAGAATTAAAGAACTCAAAGTACAAGGCAAATCATCTCTACAACCACCAAGGTCAATGAAGGAAGGAAAAATTGGTGGTGATACTCAAAGATTTGACAAAACTAATAAAATGCTGATGTAATAGTCATCATCCACTAGAAAGATTCCTAAGCCATTATAACTCTGTTTTTTCCTTCAAAAACCACTTTTTATTGAATAATTTTCAAAGAAAACATCATTTAAAACACTTTGAAAAATAACTATGTCAAAATTGCCCACATATAAAATAAAATTTATATTTGCTATTGCTAGTGTTTGTTCCATTGAATGTAAAAGAATTTATAGTAATAATAATACTGATAAAAAGATTTTTTTTTGTAATGTCATTTGATTAAAAAAAAAACACCATACTATATATATATAAAATGAATATAATAATAAAACAATTCATTTAGATGAAATGATAATTTAAAAATCCTATATCTTGATATTTTTTTAATAAATCTTCTAATTTTTCTCTTTTTACATACCTAAATAACTTTATTGTAAAAGGTTTGGATCCTTTCCAATTACTCTCTAGAGTTCTCAGTGAACTATCAGAAAAAAAGATTTTAGAATAAAAAATTAAAGTATTCAAATTTTTTGGTAATATCTGATTTAAAATTTCCAACACTTTATCACCATCTATTACATCTCTATTATTATTTAACCTTAGACTTTTTAATTTGGTACATTTACTAATTATAGGAATTAGTTCTTGATCTAGTTCATTTTTGTAAACCATTCCCAGGTACTCTAAATTTTTACAATTTTGTCCAATTAATTGATTAAGCTTTCCTAAATATTCTTCATCAATTAGTGCACCATGAATTATCAAAGATTTAAGAGTTTTACCATTGATTTTTATAAATTCTAATAGGTCTAAAAGAAATGGACTATAATAAAGACACAAAGAAATATATTCAATATTAGGAAATAGAGTAGGTTTTAATTGCTTTAGTTTGGCATCTGAGGAGCGTTCAACTAATGTTAAAAACTTCAAATTTTGAAATGTTGGAACTATAGAATCTAAATTATGATCTCCATAACTTTCATAATTAACTATTGATTTTGAATGAATTAAGATTGCATTTTTTAAATCATCTGGTAAAATTAATTCATCTTCTGAATTAATATATAATTGTTTAATTTGATTTTGTGCTTTAATTAATTTAATTAATTCAGTTAAACTAAAAAATCCAGTAACAGGATAATCAGGATCAAAATAGCAATCTATATTTAAAACTTGAATATTTTTACAAGTAGTTGCTAATTTATTAATAAATTTAGAACTAGTGTGAATACTGCAACATAATTCATGAAGGTTTTGAAAACAAGTATCAAATCTATGATGATCCACCAATTCTTCACTATCTGTTATTGTAAGCTTTCTGATATTTGAATGATCAAAAATAAATTCATCCAATTTTGTTTTTAATTGAGAATATCCTGAACTATATAAATCAAATAAATATCGCAAAAAATCATTGAATTTATAAAAATCTAATTCAGTTGTAAATTTAGCATAATTGTATAATGGTGTTTTTTCCAATAATTTAAAATCTTTGAATACAATATCATTTTCCACCAAGAAATTTTTATCTTCTTCTAGTAAGCAATTAATTAATATTTTGATGCTGTTTTTAGAAATAAATGGGTTTCTCCATAAAGTTGGAATATTGATATTATGCCATTTTTTATTGACAAGAACACAAGAATATAATGTTTTATAATCCTTTTCAATGTATTTAAATATTTCAATGAAAATTTCCTGTGGTAAAGTTGTTATAAGCATTTTTTTCTTTTTATGTTATGTGCTACACAAATTTAATAACTATTGATATATATAATAAAATAAAAAATTTTGCTCAAGTTTTATTTCATAAGTCATCAAGGAATGAAATATATGTAAAATGTTTTTGACAAGTTTGCTTTGGTAGTTTACTTAGTAAAGTCTTTATTAACTTCGTTTTTGGTTTTTATATATTAGTAAGTAACATTTAAAATTTATTGTTGTATGAAAGGATCCAAAAAAATTATTTGTCCTTGTTTGTCTGATATTAACACAATGAATATCCCATTTTTATACAATTCATATTAATATAGAAATTTGTTTTTTGATAATGAAGATGTATTACCTACCATACACAAAGTTCTATGTTTCCTTAGCATATCTTAACCATCACCGCATGCAAAGTCTACATTTCCTTAATATGTCATATACACACCAGATCTTAACTGTCCATCCTAGAGATACTGCCACTATCTTGCTTGCTTCAACCTTTTTTTTACCATTATTTAAATTTCTAAAATACACCCTGATTGCTGTTAATCTAGACTTTGCATCATTGACTAAATTGGGATTCTTCAATATAATCTATTATATTTTTCCAGTTATATCATCATTATCATCGTCATCATCATCAAAAGATTGATCTCTATTAGGGGTTTGAATATGGAAAAATTCAGTAATTTTAGAAGATCCAATTGCTGCATCTCTCAACTCTTTGGCATGTCCTGATTGAATCCCATATAAAAAGTCCTGCTTTTCTTTATTGAAGTATAAGTGTCATTTACAAAGGTAAAATTTTCAACATTCACATCCTCCCAGGATTTATCATTGTCAGAACTTGAGTCAGATCCAGATCCAGATTCGGGTTCAACTTCAGGCTCAATTTCAGATCCGACTTTGGAACACAAATCTTCATTTAAATTTCATTTCAATTTCATCACTGGTATTTGGGACATTATCCACATATGTTAGATCACTACTTAATCTTTTATTTTTGGCTAGCTTTTCAATGTGAGTTCGTCTTTTATTAAGGTCTATCTGTCCATCTTAAGATATTGATATATTAAATTGAAAAAAGAATTTTGATTTTTGACAGTAAAAGAAATTGATTTTTAATAATATAGTATAAAGACTAGTGCCGTAAATTATGATGATGGTAGTAATTGTATTTACGGCATATAAAAAGTGGTTGCAATTACTTTTGCAACCACTTTTGCAACCATACTTTTTCCTTTTTTGGATTACAGCACTAGTCTTTATTTTAGTACCTTTTTACTTTAAATGTGGAAAAAAGCTAACAATATTTTTCAAAAGATTAAACTTATTAAACTTAATGACAGTAAGAAGTCATAGATGTGATTTTATTCTAAATATTTTATTCATTGCCAGTATATACTGGTCTTGGGCAAGTAGTATCTTTGTATTCATCTTTCACAAATGGGCAAATATTCTGGTAAAGATATTCTTGCCTTTTGTAATCCAAAGGTGGTGGTGTTAATACTAAAATGGATAAAGCTCTAATTTCTTCCAAAATATCTGCTTTCTTAGTTTTCAATAAATTAGATTCAACAAAAGGTCCATTAGCAATTTCTTGAACTTTCACTGTACCAAGATTAGATGCTTCAAAAAGAAAATGTTGATACTTTTGTAAACCATTTAGTTTCTTAAAATAAATTCCCAAAATAGCTTTAACATCTAAGTATTGAAAACCTTTTCCACCTTCATAACATTGAGCTTTATTCAATCCTGCTGGACTAGACTTTTTTACTACCCCAACCACATGATACAGACAATCTACTCTTGTTTTTCTATAGAGTTTTTTTATTAAACCAAAGCTATCATCACATTTGAATTTGGTATGCCCTGGGATCATAAAATTCAATTCAATACTTTTATAATAACCACAAATTACTAGATACAAATAAAATCAAATTGTTACATTATTTTTATTTTGTCCTCCAGCATTATCACAAGTAATCTTTAAATACTTTTCACCTTTATTCAATTTCTTAATTCCATCAAAGATCATACTAAGGGTGCCATTTGGTCCTTTTCCTATAGTTTCATTTTCATTAAGAACATAATTAATTTGCACCCTTACTGCCTCATCTTGAATACCAAACAAATGGACTTTACATGGACTAAGGTAATATATTTTACTTACTTGTTGATCTGAATAGGGCACATGAACATTTTGAGCTCAATCATAACTATAATGAGCAGTAGCATCAATACTGCAATATTTTGTTTTACCCTTTGTTGTATACCTTGAACTTCGACAGCAAAATCGTACTGTGGATAGTATACATCAAGTTCAAGCCCTAACGGATGATCAGGAGTTTTTAAGAAATATGGTCTACGTATATCAGATGGTGGGCCTAATAATTTCATCACTATTTCCTTGCAGAGTTCTTGTCTCTTATATGGACAAAATGGACACCGTTTATCTAAATTTTTTACTTTATCCACGGTTGCATACCATTCATGCTTTTTTTCACACTGCCATTTTAATTTTGTATGTGCACCATTATACGTTTCAGAAAGACATAATCCTTTATTTTTAGTCGCGATTTTTCTAGCTTCTTCAATGGAAATTTTTGCATTACCTGAACAGTGAGGACACCATGTGTCCAAATTTCTTACACATTTAAGACTTGTATACCGTTGATGGCCTTCGTTAACATTCCCATAAAAGCAAAGAATCTATATCTATATATTTTTCTGATAATCTTTTTTAAGCACAATTTCTTTAGCAATATTAATATTAAGTTTAGAACATCCTGCACATTGAGGACACCATGAATTACGATTTTTTATTGTATTTAAAACTGAATGCCAAATATGTCCTTGATGGCATCTCCATCATCAGCAAATTTGAACAGGCATAAATTTGTATAATTTTATGAACTGTATAAAAACCACATGTATGTAAAATAAGCATTGGAATCCATATAAAATTTTGTATATTTTTATGTGTATTAAAATCATAGATGTATGTAAAATAACCATTGAAATTCATATAAATTCCACAAAATTTTGTATATTTTATGTGCATTATAATTCATAACTTATTTCCTTTTGTGTATATACATAAATTTAGTAGAAATTGTAATTATTCAATTATTCTGTTGATATATATTTATTAAATGTTGTATGTGAAATTGAAATTATGTGAATTTGAAAAATTATGGAGTGGGGTGAAATTCTGATTGGCTAATTTGAATTTCACACATGTAAATTTGAATTTATTGCGAATTCACATAATTTCATTTTCACGTACAACATTAACATAAAAAGAATTAAAATGATCAAACCTTGGAACAATGTGCATACTTCAGTAATTAATAATATTGGAATAAATTGAAAATGGTCAACTTTTTTAAAAAGGGATAACCATATTTATAAAATCTCTCTGTTATTATATTTTGCATCATACCATTGAATTAATGAACATCATGGTTTTTAGTATTTATTCTAATACAAAGTAGAAGTAAGGATAAAACTATTAGTACAGAGAAATAAAGAAAAAAGAGGTACATATAACTGTATAATTACTTGTGAATAACAATATGTTTCATCAGAAATGTATTCTTCATTTTGACTTTCTGCCATTTCAACTGCAACATTTGAAAATTCTGGTTTGTTGTAAAAAGAGTTATCACTGTGTGCAATTGTACCATATGGAAAATGTAATTTCTTAAATATTGAAATAGTAGATAAATTATTGTGATTGATCATCAAACATAGTTCAGGTCAATATGTAATTAAGTCATGTGGTCGACGCAATGTTTTTCTAACATCTATTTTTATAATTTTTGTTATGGATAGAAACAATTATAAAAAACACAACAAAAAAAGATCCACCGCTGCTGCTTCTACAAATGAGTAACATTGGTTGCATCATCAAGTGCAACTTCATCAACAATAGCAAACAGCAACAGCAACAGCAACAAGAACGGGAACAAGAATAACATCACTGAAGTCATCATCATCATCATCATATTTATTATTATGTAAATAATAATAATTATTATTATTATAACAGTGGTAACAATAGTAACAATAACAATAATAGCAACAACAACAACAACAACAACAACAATAATAACAATCCAATCGCAACAATGATGATGATGACAAAGAAGAAAATGAGATGGACCTTGGTCCTATTTTTATTTTTGTAAATAAATATAAATATTATTATCATATATATACTTCCCAAACCATAACTACCACAACACCAACACCACAAACACTGATGTCTGCAATGGCGTGTATGTGACCAATACCAATAATCCTTGGTATGGGACAGTTTGTTTTGATGCAATTATAAAGGGCATCAAGCAAGCAAATGTCCCAACTTAAGGCCAGAACATATAGAAGGTAAGTGCTTTATTTGCTTGAGAACTGACCACCTCTCAAACAACTGTCCATTCAAAAGAGTAGTGTCATCTGTTGCTAATAATAAATTCAAAATGGGATTTATCCCCTCTGATGTCCATTCATACATCCCACACATATGAACATTTTTATTTATTTTTAATAATAAAGTTAAAATTTATTTTCTAAAATTGCTAAATAATCATGTATTTTCAAAGAAATGCATTTTATTGTGTAATTAAGCATTTGTGAAACATTTTTTTTCTTATTTATTATGTGAATTCGCAATAAATTCAAATTTACATGTGTGAAATTCAAATTAGCCAATCAGAATTTCACCCCATTCCATAATATTTCAATTTCACATAATTTCAATTTCACATACAACACTCACATGCTTAAAAAATTCATTTAAAATGTCTTTATTTCACTAACAACAACAACAATAATAATAGTAATAATACATACTCCTACTACTACTAATAATAACAACAATAGTAATAATAATAACAACAACAACAAGCAATAAGAATAAGAATAATAATAATAATAATAGCAATGATGAGCAATTGGCGAAACAAAATTTTTTGTTAAAGGTAAATAATATTTTTTTTCTTTCAAAAAAAATCTTTTAACATATAATGTCCTTCATCAAAACTAAACATCATCATCATTACCTTGCACCAGCCATAGCCATAGCAACAGCATTGTCATCATCATATCAAGGTCACACACACCATTTATTTTTATTATTTTTATTATTATATTTGTATTTATTCACATTTTTTTTGCTTGCTGACATGGCTTCGCTAGTGAGCCAGTGGGCGGTGCTAGGTGGCATGTGTAGTAGGTAGATTAGACGTTTTTTTTTTGTAACTTGCTGCAATGATTTTGCTAGTGAGCCAAGGGGTGGTGCTAGGTGTCATGTGTAGTTTAATTTAAGTAAATTAGATATTTAATATTTAAGATTTAAAATTAATAAAATTAAAGATTTATTATTATGTAAATATACAATGAGTTGGACTATTTTAACTTGCATAAAACAGTTTTCAATCTTTGAATTGAAATATAAAGCTAACTATATTCTTATTACTGTTTTTGTTTATTATTTATTATCATAATATAAATTATACATCTAGAAACAAATTCTTTAAGGCAACTTACTATCATTATCTTTTGAAATCCTTTTAAGTAATTAATTAATGTACGTATTGTTATGTAAAAATAACTAATACTAATGATTACATATGAAATATACATCCCTTGCCACTTTTTATTCTCAAAATCTAATGCCGTTTCCAATTAAAAGAAGAAGCCTCTATGACAAATAACCCAATTTTGGGAATTTTTGAGTGATTTAAAATTCTAAGGTAAGATAGAAACCTAAATTGTATTCTTATACAGAAACAACTAATGATTACATATGAAATATACATCCCTCGCCACCATTTGTTCACTTAACCTAATTCCATTTCAATAAAAAAATTATGTTTGGAATTTTATAAAAAAGTATTGTCTCTAATGTAAAATCCTATATATAGGTTAGAAAAGTTTATTTTATTAATAATAATTTATTACTTGATGAAATAAATATAAATGGTGATGATAACAATACTAATACCATGTAAATTCAATAATATACAAAAAATCAACATCTTTGCATCTATTGTCATCACTCTTCTCCTTTTCCTGGTATCATTATAGTTGATTGCTTATGCTATTTAATCATTAATAATTATATTTATCATCATAGGAATAAAACATAAAAGAAAATTTTAATGTCTCTATTTATAATCTATATAATATTAATATTATTTATTTTTAAAATAAATGATTTTACATACCTAAGTGATCAAGAGTCTGTAAATATTCATAATAATGTAATATTTGGACATTTATTTCTACCTTCGCTTGCAATTGGACGCGCTAAAGAAATTTCTACATTTATGAATATAAAAGCAAAATTTGACTTTAAGGGTCAGATTATTTTCGGTTTTATTAACAACTTGCTTTAAAATTTTTTTAAAAGCAGATACATATCATAAAGAAGTTATATCTCAAATTTGGTGGTGGTTGCTACACAGCAAGGGTATTAAATGGGGATTAGAAGTCATTTGATTGTAAAATTTTACTATGTAAATTCGAATTTTACTATGATGCAGATCATCAAAAATTTACTATGTTTTACAACTCCCTATTGATCTGCGTGACATGTCCTGTGACTATTGATTTTTAGGACATGTCACACGACTATTAATATTAAAAATTAAAAACTTCCTTCCACATAATAATTAACAATAATAATAAATAAATAATCAATTATTAATAAATAATAAAATAATAATTAAAATGATAATTAATAATAATAGATTATTATAAAAATTATTCCGGCTTATATCTCTATAAAAAATAAAATACGGAAAATAAATGTCCAAATATTACATTATTATGAACATTTACATATTTATTATTTTATTTGTATTACATTTTTATTTTTATTCGTATAACGTCGAAATTAGTTAACTTTATTTAGAAATTAGCATCGCGGTTAGAATGTTACGTCACAATTAAAGTGCGATATTGCGGCTAGAATGCTAGATTGCAATGAAGTTGTTACTAATTAATTTAATTGTATAAAAGAAGCTCAAATTTGACTTGCTTGTAAAATAACTTTAACATTGTAATAAAGTTTTAAAGTTAACTTAGTAATAAGTTAATAAATTAGTTTCGACTAAATAAAATGTTTTTCTTAAATCACTAAACCAAAATTATTCACTAATAAAACTAATTCATTAGTAGCCAATTCATTCTGATTCACATAATCATAAATTTTATATTGTTATCATCAATTAAAATGCTCTCCCAAACAATAATTGGTGACAATATTAATGAGAAACTCCCTAATACTAATACTAAGTATTCATGATAGCTTTCATCAATTACAACCAATTTTTTATATGAAAATTGTCTTTGAAAATTCATTTTGCATCCTTGCTGCATAGCAATCATCCCCAAGTTCAAGACCTAGATTCTTGGTTATAAACGAAAAATAATGGTCAATATCAAAATTACTATATTTAGAATTCAGTGTGGTACAGTACACTAACTTATTTATATCCATCTTATCCATCTATCTATTCATCTAAAACAAAGAAATAATATTACGAATGTGTCTGGTAATGTTCTATCTCTATTCTAAATTTTCAAATGATTTACTTGTTACAATAAAAAATGGGTGTTGGCATATTTATGAGAAACTATTTTAAATTCAAGCCACATAGTGAATGGGATTTCAAATCTTTCTGTTCTTTTATGAAAATACTTGGATATGATGATTATAGTGAAATAAATATTCATTATAAAAGACAAATAGGAAATATTATAAAAGATGAAAATGAAAGTGACGCCAACAAAAGTGCTGCACAAGAATTTAAAAAAGTTAGTTTTTTTGTTAATATATATATTAATTATATAATT